GATAAGTTGGAGGGAGTACCATGGACAAATAGAGAATATTGGAGGTGTGAATGTGAGAGGTGCGGATGCGTAAGGGAGGACGAACACATATTTAACTGCCTTTTAACAAAAAGTTAACTTCRGCGCAACATTCTGAGGCGCTTTTCAAAATAGTTTGCGTTCCCTTTTAACAAATTCCTTAACCTCAGCGCAACGTTCTGAGGCCTATTTTGGGAGAGTTTGGTGGGTGACTTAACAAATTCCTTAACCTCTATTCAACATTCCTTAGGTGTTTCTGACACACCATGTGGGAAGTATGGTAACCCAGCATCTGCTTCTTGCTGCTAAATTTCCTACGGCACTGTTTGCAGACAATGCTGGGCTTTACTTTTTTGCATACCTTATGGGAGATGTGGTAATTAAGCATCTGATTGCTACTGAAATTCCTACTGCATTCTTCGCACTTCATTATAAAATAACTGATTAATAAGCCTAGTATGGCGTCCTTAGATATATGATAGCCTACGCAGCAGCATTCTTTGGAGGATTACTAATAACCCTTTCAATATATGGACTGTATTACGTGCGAACCCCCTGCAGATTGCATAACACCCAAGTCTAAGACGAGAAAAAAAATACACCTGCCTTCATTGTGGCAATGCATTCCTTGATCATTGGTGCGCAGCTGACCCAAAGGCGCACAGAACTCTACTAGACACCTCTAACCATGCAGAGGGCTCTCTGGCTCATACTTAACTACATCAAATACCCACCTGCCATCCTCTTTACCATGACTCATAACATGGGTAACGTCCTGCCCTTCGATGGCGTACCTTATCCTATCAGGCGCCCAAAGGGTGTATATTCTTTTTTCATTCTTTAGCACCAAACGCAGACGGTCGATGTCTTCAAAGACCACGTAATTCTTTATCTCGTAAATCTCCCCCACCACCAAATCCTTCCAGTGCGTTTGTATGAACCTTAACTCGTTAAATTTATCCTTGTTCATATATTCTATGAAATATCTTTAAATGCGTTGCCAAAGTCTCAGAGGTCTTAAAGGCCTTACAGCGCCACCTGCAGGGGATTCTCAATTGCTCGGCGTATGCGGCGATCGCACGACAAATGTCGTCGTAGTCGTTGCTTATGAGCACTTTATAGCCGTTTTCCTCATATCTTTGTAGGAGCAGCTGTTGATCCTGGGAAAGTATCCCATTGCCTTTTGGCGTCTTTAATTCGATGCAAAACCCGCG